AGAAGAATGCTCATGTTAAAATGAACAACTCAATGCCTTGGGTTTTAATGGTAAGAAAGGTTATTTTTTTAGTCTAAAAAAGATAGTGGTGTGATCTTATTGAATCAAAGAAAGGTATGAGTGTATCAAAAAGATAAAGGCAATGTTCAAGAATTTCAAAAAAGAGGTAATGTCAAAATTTCATCTTTTGGTAATGACCACGAGTTGTTTTGGGCAAAGAATCAAGGTATTTTATTCTGGGGTTTGAGACAGGGTAAGAAAGGTCTAATCTTTCCATATATCAAAAATCTATAATTCTTGAAGAATTAAAAGAATCATTAATTCATTTAATATTCGAAGAACTAAAGATTAAAATTTGTTCAATTGCTCCACCTTAGAAAGCAGCATAAATTCAATCATTTAAAAGATTAAGCAAACATGAAAGATCAAAGACGTGTTCAAACAAAACAATCCTCTAAGTGCAAATGATATATACCATGCCCCCTTCTTCGGCAAGCGCCTTACAGTTTTCAGAGGAATGTTTGGGGCTTCTTATGTGGTAACAGCTAACAGCTTCAACATCGTAGCCCTTAGGATATGGGGATTCTTTTCTTAGATCATCATGGCAGGCTTTGTCCTACAATCAGCTGATCAGGCTCCCACTGTATTGTTTTCAGTTTTTTTCTTTTGATGTTACAATCTTGCTTCCATGTGGTGTCATGTGGTTAAAACCACTTCATCGAATCCTCCATGAAGAAATTTCATGTTTATGAAAATACTTAAAAATGAAATGTAGATGCACAACGCAAAATGAAAAAACTGCATGAAATGTTTGAGGCATTGATCCAGAAAAGTGCCCATTATTATAAATAATCCTTATTTCAACAAAAATGTTTTATCTTGTAAGAGACATAAAAACAATCAAAGGTACATTCGGACTAAATCCTCTAGACCCCGAACAGCTTCCAACAGGTTGACAAGTCTTTTGTTTTCATCTGTCACTGGTTGTATGCCTTGTTGGACCACTCCAGCTTCCCTTGCCAGGCCGTGTAGATGGCGAGCTGCCTTCTGTACTTGATCCAGGAAATCTCGGATGACTGCGTATCTGGCTTTCACCATTTATTGTGCTTGCTCCCAACGGAAACGCCACTGCAAACCCCCATCGAAGGGCACTATTTGAAGCTCACTCACTTGCTTTTTGAAGCTATTATTTTACCATCTTTCTCATGTTGTTTCTCCAGATCAGCCATTTGGATTCTCAGGCGTTGGATTCTCAGGAGTTATCCTTGACTTTATCTTGGTACCCCTTTCTCAAGTCTTCAAGCTCAAAATAGACTCTTTTCTGCTCCCTTTCCAGTTTGTCTGCTCTATCTTTCTGAGAATCGTCATCTAGTTTCCATTGATAACGTTCAGTTTCAAGTTCCTTAACTCTCTGTTTCAGCTCATTATTCACAGCTTCAAACTCTGCCTTGACTATCTCAAGTTCAGAAGGGACAGGCCTGAGATGTTCCTCCATGGTCCGGGTGTCTTCACAGTCTGGCATCGGGATGCTATCATTCTTTATCAATCTTCGCCACTCCATATAATCCAGAGTAAGCATATCTCTGGCAGCCACGACATCCATCCGGGATACTTTCTTCCATGACTCGGCTGCCTCTTTGATCCTCTTCTTATAACTGTCATCGTGATACACAAACTCTGATGTAGATAATCCGTATGTTGCTGGGATAAACTGACGTGCCCCATACTGTCTAAGTGCCAACAACAGAGCATACCCAACTGTACCCCAAAGTCCAAGTAAGGTCATAGTGTCAGAATCCCCAAATCGGAAAAGAACGTCACTGAGGAACAACCAGGGGGCTCTCCAAGTAATATCCCGATCCTGAAGATGAGTGAAGACCTTCATCCATTCTTCCTTCGAAGCGCCTTCATGTCATTTCATAATGATGAACTCTCCCAATGGTGAATAAGTAGTGCTGAATTGGTGGTAGGCAACCCCGTTAGTCTTTCAGAAGTGGCTGTGAATCCAGACTTGAAGGAGCTGAACACATCCAATGAACCTTCCTCCACCAGTTCTTCTGCAATGATTAAGAGACCGAAAGGTCTCGGCTAAGATGGTCAGCGCTGGGTTGACTCGCCTTGGAAGTTGTTCAAATAGTTCTACTACGGCTGCGTCGATGCACCCCAAGGTCTTCGGAAAGATAATCAAACCGTACAAACCCAGTACAAAAAGATTTATAGTCTTCTATTCATCAGTGTGGTTCTTCATTAGTTGCTTTATATGGATCCACTCGATTCCTTCCCCGTTACCTTTGTGTCGAAGTCGATCAGTCACCTATTTTTCATCAACCCCTGCAATCTTAGCTAGTCCGTTCTTGAAAGGCTGACTCTTGATGTGTTTGATATATGCCCTCTCTAGTATGATGTTTTCGCAGTGCAGTAGGGTAGTATACTCTTCAATTGTGGGCACCATGTCCTCCCGGTTAAAGGTGAAACAACTATATCTCGGGTTTCAGAATTGAATTAATGCTCGGAGCAGGGACTCATCAGTCTTGACATGGAGTAAGAGGGCAATATCACCATATCGTTGGTTGAACTTCTGCTTTCTGTCATTCCCCCAACTGTCCCAAATATTTCGCAGTTCTTGGACATCATTTTGTTTCAGGCTGACAGATGCGTAACTAACAAGCTTTGACACATAATTTCCCTGAAGACTGTCTCCCTTCTCTTTCTGAGTCTTCTCGGACCATAGTCATGCCTCAGCGTTTTTAATCTCATGTATTACAACACCTTTGTCCATTAATTCGGATTTATTTTGTGTTTAACAAACGTTTTTAAGGATCAATAACCTCTTGTTATGATGCAAATACTAGAAAACAAACACAAATGCAAAAGGATTAGTAAAATAAAAATAAAAAGAAAATAACGAAAGAAAAAAAACACAAAAAAGAAAATGGTTAGGGTAAAAATATCTTAGGTTTTGGAATGTGATTTCGGGGTAGGCTCTAATTCTCCATGGTTTTTCGGTTTAGGTTCTAAAAACGGTACCCGAGTTATCCTTGCTGGTGCCCCCTTGGGCTTGCTAGACCCTTAGTCCTAAACCCATCACAGGCTTGTGTGGACTAAGTTAAACTCGAGAGGACACATTCCCTTATGCCCGCACGGTGAATAAATTCACACGAAGACATAAGGTATATGAATCCCGAAGGCTACTTGCTAGGCCCGTACGGTGAATAAATTCACACGAAGGCATCGCTTTCACCCCCACTTAAGACACGGTTTAGAGCTCGGGTATAGAGCCTTAAATGAAAAAGATTTGAAGGCTGAAATCACGAGAAAATGATTAGAACAACTATTTACCCGAAAATATAATCAAAAGTAAATAAAAAAGGATCGAAATTTTACCTTAAAATTTAAACTTACCCTTTTCGTTAAAAAGACAACTAAAATTACCTTAGCATGACTCACTTACATGTCCCCAGCGAAGTCGCTAAGCTGTCGCAACCGTCTTTCGATTGGGCCTCAGAATTGGGTTTCGACTTGAAAATGTGGATTGGAGTCGCCACCGATCATTTATTTAAAACAAATGGGTTGATCGGATACCCTATTTCTTACCTGATCTGCGTCTTTCCAAAGATGTATCGGGTTCGGGAGTTGGTTACGGTCAAGGAAGGATTAGCACCCTTGAATCGTCCTTTCGGTACTACGTAATTTCCAGTTGTCTTTGATTAAGAAAATTGCAAGTTAAATTAAAAGATAAAATTTGATCCGAATTACTTACCCTTAATGAGTTTACGAAAATACCCTTAAAAAATAAGATTTTAAAACAAAATAATAATAATAAAAGAAAGTAATAAAACTAAATAGTAAACCAAGGAAATAAAAACCAATAATAATAAACATAAAATAATTGGATGAAAAAAAATGAAATTGAATAAAATAAAATAAAATAAATGAAGATAAAATATATATACAAAAAGAATAAAAAAGGTAAAGTGTTTTTTTTAAAAAGAAAAATAATAATAAGAGCAAAGAAACTAAAAATATAATGAAAATAAATAAACAGTATAAATAAAATAATAAATATATATATATATATAAATATAAAAAATGTATGTATAATATAATAAAATACTAAATAGTAATAATAATAATAAATAAATGAAAAATAAATATATATATATAATATTAATTAAAAAAATAATCATAGAAATATAAAATAAAATAAAGTAAGAATATATATATATAACGTTAGGAAAATATAGTAAAAAACATAGTAAATAAGTAAACATAAATAAAAATAATAATTATAATATATATATATATATATATATATATATATATATATAAAATAGGAAAATAATATAATATAACGCAAAGAAAAATGAAAAAAATATAATAAATAAATAAATAAAATATAATTAAATATATGCATATAAATAATAAGGGTTAAATTAAAATAAAAAAATGAATTAGGAGTCAAAATTAAAAACCAATTGAAGAAAAAGAGGACAAAACAAGCGAATCCACATGATCCGTTTATAAAAATCCGAATAGTTTTTCTAAAACACAAGCCTCGGAGACTAGATCTATAAAAATAAATCTCGAAAACGCCCCCGTTCATCGACCAAAAACACTTCTCTCAGTTTTCTTTCGAAATCAAAACACAATAAGGGTAAAGAAAAATAACATGAGAATATATGAACTTTACCTTTCAAAATATAAATGCTTAGAAAAATAGCTACGAGTTACTTGTAATTTTTTGCTTGATATTTCGTATATCTTCATCCGAATGTATTACAATAGTGAGTTACAATGACTATTTATAATGCTTGTAGATCCTATATTTAGGAGTTTAAATAATAATAGAACTCTATCATATTTTTAGGAGTTTGAATCCTAACAAAATTCTATCATATTTTTAAGAGTTTAAATCCTAGTATGATGAAAAGGTGTGTTGACACCACTGCTTCACTGGAAAATTTCAATCATGAAGAACAATGTTTTTTATTAAAAATTACCTGTAAGTGACGACTAGATGGTGAAGGAAGATTGAAATTTCAAGCCTTGATAGTTCTAAACCAGGGCAAAGCCTCTGCCCACCTCCAAATGGTGTAAAGCTATTGTTGTTAACAGCAATACTAAACTCTTAAAGCTAAGGTTTTTTTTTTATGAATCAAATTGCTCTGCAACTATTTTAAACTGGTCCCATCTCCATGGATAAAAAAGATATGGATTTTCATAAATTTCATCGTCCATATGAAGAGAAAGAAAAGATGCCAGGACACACCATCCCTTTGGTATTAATTAACCTGCAAAAAAAAATTCCTCAACGATTTTTTTTGCTTTTTGTATATTTACGCAGATTCGAGTAATGAACACTTTTATAAAGTATTGAACTTGCACAACAAAATTGAAGCCATGGATAATACTGATGTAGACAATGTTAAGCCAACCGAGGAATGCCATGAAGTACATAATGTTGATGAATCTGACAGATTGGTTGGTCAGCTCTTCTGTTCACGTGATCAAGCTTGGCACTTTTACAAGGGATTCGCACGGGAACATGGGTTTAGTGCACGTAAGGGAACAACACGGCTTGACGTGGAAGGGAATGTGAAGACACAAGAATTTTGTTGTTCCAAAAAAGGGTTTCGAGTATCAAAAGTCAATACTGTTGATCGTCAACGTGCTCATACGCCAGTCACAAGAACAGGATGTAAGGCTAGAGTCGTAGTTACAGCAACAAATACAAACGATCAGTGGGTTATAAGTAAGTCTGATCAGAAACATAATCATGCATTGTGCACATCTGCTATGACACCATTTATGCGTTCTAATCGAGCTGTAAGTAAGGCTGATATCGATGAGGCAACAACATTGAAAGAGGTCGGTGTTGGCACGTCACAAGTAATGAACTATTTAACGCAGCAGGCAGGGGGCTATCATAATGTTGGATTTACACATAAAGACCTCTACAATGCACTTCAAAGAGGTAAAGCAAAGGAAATCGTCGATGGGGATGTGAATGCGCTTATTGCCTACTTTGATTATAAGAAACATGATGATCCCGGGTTTTTTATGACATACTCGGTAGACGAATCGGGGGCATTGTATAATCTTATTTGGTCGGATTCTACATCGAGATCGGATTACACATGCTTCGGTGATGTAATTGCGTTCGACACAACGTACAAAGATAATTTGTATGGTCGACCAATTATGCCTATTGTTGGTGTCAATCATCACCATAACACAATTGTGTTTGCCACTGCCATAATCGCTGACGAAACGTCTCAATCTTTCGAGTGGGTGCTACAGAATTTTTTAGAAGCCATGATGAATAAATCACCTATTTCTGTTGTAACCGATGGGGATAGGGCAATGCAGAGGGCTATCAAATCTGTTATCCCTTATGCTAAGCACAGATTATGTTCTTGGCATCTTTCTCGCAATGCACAAGCTAACATTGGTGACCCAAAGTTTACAGCAGCATTCTCAAAATGCATGGCTTCCTGGTGGACAACCAAGGAATTTGATATTCAATGGCGTTCGATTGTTTCAGAATTCAACGTCCAAAAGCATCCATGGGTGATTGAGAAGGGAAATACACGACACTTATGGGCACAAGCATATCTAACCGGTCATTTCTTTGCCAATATTCGCTCAACACAAAGGTGCGAGTCTATGAATGCTTCACTAGCTATTGCACTGAAACACAAGAAGACATATTTAGATGTTGTTCGTGCAATTGAAGATGGAATTAGTAGAATGCGTATGAACGAGTTGAAAGCGGATTACTTAAGTTCCCATACGAAGCCCTTCCAGATCACAAAACTGGTCGACCTTGAAAGCCATGCCGCTGCGATTTTACCCGCGAATCTTTTCGTGTGTTCCAAGATGAACTTATACGGGAGACATTGTACCGGATTGAGGCAGAGATTAAGTCCTTATCAGATGAATGTCAACATTATATTTTGTCAAAGTACGCAGAAAAAAATAGGAAATTTGAAATTAGTTTTGATTCTCGTACGAAAACTCTAATTTGCTCCTGTAAAAAATTCGAGACCGTTGGACTTCCGTGTCGCCATCAACTTCACATTTTGAAGCAATTGGACTACACATATTTGCCCGGGAGTTTGATTCAAAGTAGGTGGACTAATGATGCGAAGGCTTCTGCACCCAGCTATGTTGATTTGAATGTGTCTCCAGAAGTGATGCAAATGGCAAGGTTCGCTGCTCTACGTTCAACGTCAAGTAGGTTATGCTACATTGCATCAAAGACAGACGAGTCTTTCAAAACCGCAAGAGATGAGATGAAAAAACTAATAGAAGAATTAGAAAACTCGTTTGGTTTGAATCATTCAGTCAACCAGAGCATTGTAGTAAACAATGTTCGTGACCCTCAACGAAAACAACGCAAGCGAAAAGAAGTGCCGAAGAACAAGGTCGAGAAGAAAATTAGGCGATGTGGGTACTGCAACGGTGAGGGGCATAACAAACTAACATGTCCTCAAGTCAAGCTTAGTTTGAGGACAAGCACACAGCCTACATCAACTGATTTTTTCGAAGACGGAATGGAATGACAACGATCTCCATATAATATATCGTAAGTATCAACATCACTCCTATTGTATGTACATATAAATATTTTGAATGAAGGAAGAAAAACCGCGTTACTTCAAATTACCGACACTTTTTTAAATGGTATCGACACATTTTTATTCCAATCTGGACATAAAGTACCGACACAACATTATAAAGTGTCGATATAGGTTGTAGACCTATTCGCTCATAAAACCAGTATATTTATACCGGTTATATTACAAAATTATCTATTACATTATAATTATGGGTTCCGATGTATAAAATGTCGACACTTTTTTAAATCGTATCGACACATTTTTCTTCCAATATGGACCTATTTTATTATAATATGTTGAAAGTGTCCATACTTTTTATAAAAAGGATCGATACTTTTTTTTAAAGATATGTAATTTATGTTTCAATATTTTTTAAGTACGTTTCATGTTTTCCACCTACAATATTAATTTAATAATTTCATTTGCACAAAAAATTAGTTGAGTGTTTTTATATTTTATAAAATAATATTAAGAATTTTTAATTTAATAATAATATATACCGTAACGTAAAAAATTAATCATTAGACGCCTATAATTACTAAATTAATATCTTAAAACTCACTCAAAAGATAACCTTAAATCTGGGTTCCGATGTGTAAATGTCGACACTTTTTTAAATGGTATCGACACATTTTTCTTCCAATCTGAACATAAAGTACCGACACAATATTAGAAAGTGTCGATAAAGGTTGTAGACCTATTCGCTCATAAAATCGGTATTTTTATACCGGTTATATTACAAAATTATCTATTACATTATAAATCTAGGTTCCGATGTGTAAATGTCGACACTTTTTTAAATGGTATCGACACATTTTTCTTCCAATCTGAACATAAAGTACCGACACAATATTAGAAAGTGTCGATAAAGGTTGTAGACCTATTCGCTCATAAAACCGGTATTTTTATACCGGTTATATTACAAAATTATCTATTACATTATAAATCTGGGTTCCGATGTGTAAATGTCGACACTTTTTTAAATGGTATCGACACATTTTTCTTCCAATCTGAACATAAAGTACCGACACAATATTAGAAAGTGTCGATAAAGGTTGTAGACCTATTCGCTCATAAAACCGGTATTTTTATACCGGTTATATTACAAAATTATCTATTACATTATAAATATGGGTTCCGATGTGTAAATGTCGACACTTTTTTAAATGGTATCGACACATTTTTCTTCCAATCTGGACATAAAGTACCGACACAATATTAGAAAGTGTCGATATAGGTTGTAGACCTATTCGCTCATAAAACCGGTATATTTATACCGGTTATATTACAAAATTATCTATTACATTATAAATCTGGGTTCCGATGTTTTTTCAATCGACACTTTTTTAAATGGTATCGACACATTTTTCTTTCATTCTGGACATAAAGTACAGACACAATATTAAAAAGTGTGAAAACTTTGTTGTGGATATCGAAAACAATGCTATAGTCATGTGTTTCGATACATTTGCAAGTAGATGTAAAATATATTAGTATTGATATTTCAACAATCCTCAAATGTATATGTACACATAGAAGCGAATATGGAATAATTAATGAAAATATACACACAATATAATCACACCAAATTATAAATACACAAGAATGTTCAAATAATGTACCGACAAACAAAATTAATCCGATGAAAAAGGGTTGTTTCTAACGAAGTCCGGAACATTAGAGGCCTTCAACAAATTTTCCAAATACTCTCGTATGTTTCCGCCTTTTTCTGAGGACATACATAAATAATTTCAATTATCAAACTAATGAGGTGCAATTTTACTAACAATAAATTAAATTCGCATAAGCATGAATAAATTTGTGTCATACCTAGAGCTTTGTCGTTCGAATGGGAAGCAGCGTCAAAGGTATGTGGACATATGTAATTGTATTTCTATATAAACACATAAGTTGTTAAAATAATCAATGTCTGAACACCTGTTCAACTGGAAAAACATATTGCATAAATGCAACTTACCGGATTATAAATCATTTTTTCCGCTGAATCATCGACCAAAAGTGTATTTAGCTCGTTAAAATCTGGACACGCGTTCCAAACATCATTGAGATCTTTACAGTAGGTAACAGAATCGTATGTTTTGCATTTTTTTGATCCTGTTCACAAACAGTCGAACATAAATATGTAGGAATCATAGACAACGAAAAGTCAGCAAACTGTAATGACATTCATCTTACCCACACGAATAGAAAATGCTCGGAAAATACAGGTAGTTTCTCAAGTACACGGTCGACGTTATGCCTGAGATTGTAATCAAGTTTGAATGTTAACATTCAAATGTATATTAACGATTTTGACTACAGTAATTCAATTGCCTCAAACATGTTCTAACCTCATCTTTGAAGACCAAAGGGCAACAACAAAATTGTCGACACAAAATTGCATAAATTCAAATAATCCTCTTCTGAGGACAACTTCTACAACATGAAGAAAATGAGATTAAAGTTCTACGCTTATATGTTAAAATAATGGATACAAA